GGTACCTACTAGTTAAGTAGTCCCTTATTAAATTTACCGCATTATCTGCAAATCCAAAGTACTTCAGCTTCATGGACAATATATTTCTTGACTTGAGTGAAGCTATTGACTTAGTTGACCATGGATAAATTGGACAGATATGGATTCAGAGGTAAGCCAGTTGACTGGTTCCACAATTATCTAAGCAACAGAAAACATTATGTTGAAGTACTGACTGCACAGTCCGACCAGCACCTATATCATACAGGGGTTCCACAGGGTTCCATACTTGGTCCCCTCCAAAAAATTATTGTCACAAGTATCCACCTTGGTATAATTCCAATATTATTAAAAGTATTAAACAAAAAGCTAAATACAGGAAAAGGTTTGCTAAGCTTGGACATCAGTCAGATCTTGAAGAATTTCAGAGACTGCGCCGTTCAATCAAATCTCAAATAAAGAGGGCGTATAATATCTACATGGAGAATGTTCAGAACAGTTTAGTTAGCAATCCAATGAAATTTTGGTCGTTCACGAACATGAAAAATAGTACATCACGAATTCCTGGCGAAATGAAGTATCAAAATAATACGTACTGTCAACCTCAGTCGATTGTCAATGTATTTGCTAACTTTTTCAGCAGTGTTTACCACCAATCAGACTTAAATGTTGATATCGTTGAGCACGTTAACCATAACATCCATCTAATTTTAGCTCCTATCCAGGATAGCGAAGTTATTTTAGCCATTAGTCAGCTAAAGGATAAGATGTCTTCGGGTCCTGATGGTATTCCTTCGTTCCTTGTAAAGGACTGTGCTAGAGCTTTTTCTCCTGTACTTACTCTCTTATTCAACATGTGCTTAAAATCTAATATATTCCCGAATATATGGAAGGTGTCCAAAGTTTGTCCGGTCTTCAAAAATAGAGAAAAATCAGATGTCGAGAATTATCGTCCAATTTCTCTTATATGCATTTTTGCGAAAGTCTTTGAAATAATCTTGTACAATTGCTTGTATCCTTCAATAAAAAATCAAATATCACAAAAACAGCACGGTTTTGTCAGCAACCGATCTAAAGTCACCAATGGGTTATTTTAACCCAATATATTTCTGAAGCTCTAGATGATAACTGCCAAGTTGATGTGATCTATACGGATTTTTCAAAGGCATTTGACAAAATTGATCATGGGGTTTTGTTGATGAAACTTGGTCACTTTGGTCTCTCACTTAGCGCTATAACATTCTTCAGGTCGTATTTGTCAGAGCGAAAACAATTTGTTGAATATAATGGCTTCAAATCTGAAACCTACTTAGCCCCATCTGGTGTTCCCCAGCGGTCCAACTTGGGACCATTGTTATTTTTATTATTCATAAATGATCTTTGTGAAAGTATGAATGGTCAACAGTTATGCTTTGCAGATGATATGAAGATATATTCATCAATCAGTGACGTGCAGGATTGCTTAGATTTACAGATGCAGTTAAGTAGTATTAGGATTTGGTGCGATCTCAGTAAATTACATCTAAATATAAGTAAGTGCAGAGTAGTTAGCTATAGCAGAAAGAAAAATGTTCGTGTATTCAACTATAATATCGATGGTGTGGTGCTGGAAAGAAGCGATATAGTCAAAGATTTGGGTATTATATATGACCATAAATTAACATTTACTGCTCATATTTCGCGGAAAGTTTCGGAAGCCTTTAAGTCTTACGGTTTCATTGTCAGGAACTGTAAGCGATTTGATAACTTAAGGGCCTTAAAAGTCTTATATTTTACATATGTACGTACAAAACTAGAATATGCGAGTGTTGTATGGAATCCGTATTACCAGACTTATATAAATGATATTGAGAGGGTCCAAAGAAAATTTCTAAAGTTTCTATACTCCAAATCTGAAGGAGTTTACCCTGAGCAAGGCATTAGCAATATGGAACTATGTGAGCGTTTTGAAATTCATAGTTTAGAATGCAGAAGGAAAGTTTCATCTGCCATATTCCTTTTTAAACTGCTAAATAGCATTATTGACTCCCCAGTCATTTTGGCACAGATTAATTTCAATGTTCCTTCGTTCTCTTCACGCAACTATGTAACTTTTAAGCTATCAAGAGCTAGGACCAACTTGTTAGTCAAATCTCCTATATATGTTATGTGTAAACATCTAAATTGTATTAGCTGTCATTGTGATATATTTACTTGTTCGCTTAACTCAGTAGTTAGAATGGCTTATTTATATTTGAAATAACTTCTTTTTTTTTTTAACACCACTGAATATTATTTAATTGTGCTTATGTAATTGTCCTATAAATGGGGTAACTGTTGGACAATAAACGCTATTACTATTATTATTATTATTATACATAATATATGTCAATGACTTTCCCGCCAAATCCTCGGTAATGTATGCTGATGATACCTCATTAGTTATTAACGAAAAAAACCTGGAGTCAGTGGTAAGAAATGCCAACACAAACTTAGCTGGTGCAGAGCAATGGTTCATTAATAACGGCCTGGTCTTAAACTACAAAAAGACAGTGTTCCTGAGATTTAACTACTCTAATATGCACATGGATCGTAGTCTCCTTATAAAATCAAGCGGTAGATCCATGGAACAAGCAGAAACTATAAAATTTTTAGGAATACACATATCGCAAAACTGCAAATGGGATACGCATATAGAGAAAGTTAGTCAAAAGATTACTGCTATTGCGTGTACCAGCTGAGTTTTATCGTTGATAAGTGGACATTGTTAATGTCTTACCATGCACATATCAATTCTACTCTGACTTATGGAACATAAGCGTGGGGAGCATCCTCCAAGTTACAAAGGCTTCTTATATTACAAAAAAGAGATGGGAAGGCGCTTTAGCTGCAGGGAACTGTTCACAGCTTTGAAGATATTAACGCTGCCTTCAGTATATATATTGAATATATTGATTTACCTCATAACTCACCTGGACAATTTTAGTTCTATAAATTCTGGAATTTATAATACCAGAAACAGAGAAGTATTGTAGTTGCCGGCACATAAGTTGTCTAGAACGGAGGAGAGTGGTAAATACATGGTAATAAAATTCTTCAACAAACTACCCATTGATTATAAATCACTACCGCTGATATTATTTAAAAAAGAATCAGGGAAATTTTACTTGATAAAGCTTTCTACTCTATAGAAGAGTTTTTAATGAGTGATAGTCTTTTTTAATTGTTTTAATGTATTGTTCAATTTTAATTTGTTAATTTGTTATTTTAATTCGTTTTCATGTTTATACACTTCGTGTTTTTATTTGATGATTTGAATGTTATTTATGTATGTTTATACTAATATTCAATTGACTTATCCTATATCACTTTGTGATCCACAGGATGAATAAATTATTATTATTATTATTATGATCTATGGCAGAGTTCCTCAAACTTTTTTGTGTCGTAGACCCCTTGCCATGTTTTTCCGTGTTGGGTAGACCCCCTACTTACCTGATTTCCTGTAAATTTCTAACTGTAGTGAAGTTTAGTGTTAAAAACTTAAAGTAAAAACACATGTTAATTTATACATTTATTAATTGAATTTAAATTAAAACTACTCAAAATCAAATTTTGTATCTGTTATGTAAAATATACGTAACATTAAATAAACGGGTGTCTGACCAATATGTGCTCGCATTGGGAATAAGTGCCCGCATTGAAAAAAAAAAATAAGAGGAATAAAATAAAAAAAAAGTGAAAAATAATAAAAAAAAAGTTTCTTACTTAAAATAGTACAATAAGCGAGTTCGTTTATTAGTTATAACGTATGTTCTATAATAATTAACGAATTTTAGTGTGTACCTATCCTTGAATTTTCAGAATAATTTAAAAAAAAATATTTTCTATAAAGGGGGGTTCTTTAAAAAAATCAATGCGGGCACTTATTCCCAATGCGGGCATTTATTGGCCAGACACCAATAAACATAAAATAAACTATAAATAAAATAACATAAGCAATAAGTCAATATTTTTAGTGAGAAGGATGAACCTTATGCTTTAATAATAAATTATCAACATTTGGCGTCAATTTTGTAAGGGTTAATCTTAAATCTCCTCGGCCAGTCTGTTTCTTTTTTTTGTTAGGAGATTGGTAACAGCGCTGAACCCCCTTTCCACTAGGTATGACATGTTGTTTTGCAGCCAGAATTGCTGATATCCGTTTTTAAACTAAGTTCTTCGTTTGTACTTAGTTCAGTCAGTTCCTCTTGTATTATGACATTCGTTTCTTCTATGTCACCATATGGATTAATTATCCACGGTGGTATTATTATAGTCAAAATATCCTCAAACCTATCTGAATACAGGGCATTTAAATGTTGAACGTAAGTTGAAACGTCGTCTTCCTGGCAGCTTGTCTGTGACAAATTGGGGAACTGAGAAAATTCGCCCCGTCCAATATTTTGCTTCATTGATTTAACTCTGGCAAGAAACGCTGATAAGATGGACTTTGCTTTAATCAAATTTAAACTGTCGCATTGTAATTGCAAATTAACCAAATTAAATTTTGTAAACAAATCTGTTAAATAGGCGATGTCTGTTTTCCTCTTCATTCAATTTTCTTTTAAAATGTTATCTTTAGTATCCAGAAATTCTAAAATAGTCTCAAAAAGTGCAAAAAATCTTGTCAAACATAAGCCTTGCGACAGCCAGCGTACTTCAGTGTGAAGGAGTAATTGATGAAAGTGTTCGACATTTTCTTCACACAACTGCGCAAATAACCGCGTATTCAACGCGTTGCTTCGGATTCGGTTTACTGCATCAATGACTAAATGAAGTGATTCATGCAATCTAACACACACATTTTTAGCAACTAAATGTTGTCGATGGATGACGCAATGTATTGCACACCCCTGACACATTTTGTTTTAAATAGCTTATAAATCCACGATAACGTCCAACCATGGCAGGTGCTCCATCTGTAGCTACTGATATTATATTTGATAAAGGAATTGCTTTTTCAATGAAGTAATCCTTCAAAACATGAAATATTGATTCACCTTTAGTGTCGGTTATCAAAGTTCTTGCGGAGAGCAGTTCTTCGTAGATTTCTTGATTCATAATAAAACGAACATATGCCAATAATAATGCTGCATTATCAGGTAAAGTTGACTCGTCCAGTTGTATAGAGAAATGGGTCGTTTGCAAATAATTACATAAGAAGCTTTCAATACCAGAACTCATTTCATCAATACGTCTTTCAACAGTATTGTTGCTTAAGGGAATTCTTTTAATGATATCAGATGCAGGTTTGTGTAAAACAGTTTTTAAAACCTCTTCAACGGCTGGCAAAATTAACTTCTCTCCGATAGTATGCGGTTTTACGGATTTTGCTATAAGTAACGAGATATTGTAAGACGCCCGCAAACCATCATCATTTCTTTGTGACGTCGAAGCGAACATTCTGTCCAGTGTAGGTTTCTTCTGAAATTTATCTTTGAGTGTTTGAAAGTATTTCAAATCTTTCTCTGTTTTATCAGGGTGGCATCTTCTCAGATGATCTTGCAGTTTAGATGGTTTCATAGCGTCATTGCCCAAAACTTTGTTGCATAAAAGGCACATAGGCGATTGTTTGTCCGGCAATGATGGAATAAAGCCAAATTTCAAATAATCAACACTGTACTGTCTAAATTTCTTTTTAGATTCGGACATGGCATCAGTCATCTCTGGGCAAAATTAAATTATTTAAATAAGACAGAAAATCCAGCAGCTGTATATTAAAAATATTTTTTGATTTTTCCGAAAACATTCCATAATTCGAACATCTTCTTGCAACAATTAGCTCGAATTACGGAGATTGCACTGTAATTATATTACCGATTGCTAAAACTTTCAAAAAGAAACTATTGAGGAGTACTCGTGTAATTTTGCATGATTGAATATTTAACTACTAATAACTAAAGTCATGATTTGCGTAATTTATCTATCTTTGCTAACTACGAGTACAAAACTAAAATTTAATAAAAAATAATGTACTTACTTTTTTCCAGCACCCTCAAACAAAATAACACTGAATCACTGTAATTTGTGTGATATACTATCTGTTTATATTTTTTAAAATATTTTCTTAGCACTTTCCTTTTCAAGATTCAGGAAACGAATAAACGTGTATGTCCCACATTCGTATTTATAGAGTGACGAATTGAACAAGTCAGTGCAAGGTAGCGAAGCTCTGAAACTGCGACTCTCAGGTTTTTACAAGTTCAAAATGTATTGCGACCACAAAGCGAATACCAACATCCTATAGCTTACATAATTTTATAAACATATATAATAAACTTTTTACTTCATAGGTTTTTTTATAAATAATGTATATGTTTTGATATTATAAGATAGTATGATTTAAGTGCTATCAGTGTATGTGTTGAGATCCACTATCGTGGACCCCATATTCATTTCATGGACCCCCAGATTATTTTTTGCTGACGTAGACGCCTTGCAGGTTGTCATAGACCCCTAGGGGTCGATATAGACCACTTTGGGAATCAATGATCTAGGGTATCAAAGGCTTTACTGGAGTCCAAGAGAATTAAACACATAACATTGCCTTTGTCAAATCATTTCTAAAAGTCATCAACTAATCATGCCAGTGCAGTTGTCGTGTCGTGTTGGGCTCGAAATCCAGATTGGATTGATGGTATAATTTCCAAGATTTGCTGCCTTATGACCATTTCCAATAATTTGGAGAGTATTGGTAAAATACTGATCGGTCTCAGATATTTAATATCTTCTACTACAGATACCTTGAGAATTGGGATGATTTTTGAAATATTCCACTGGAAAAACAGAGTTTAATAAACGAAAGTTAATAAGGTTAGGTCGGGTTGAAAAACAGCATTAGCTGACACTCCACCTTTTCGTCACTATTCCTTTTAAGCCAATTATTTTGTAATCATGTGACGAATAAAGGTCATTTATTATTATTATTATTATTATTATTATTATTATTATTATTATTATTATTATTAATATTGTAGGTAATGCGGTGCAGTAGATGATCCTCAAAGACATATATATATATATATATATATATATAATGTTTCTTGAAAGTAATGCAGCATCTACTGAAGTGAAAGAAAACAAGTTGTTGCTGCGAAGTTCTTGGTATGTATCTAACAAATCGAGTTGACACTGAATTCTATGAACTTTGGGTAGATTTGAAGAGAAAGAATTGGGTGTATCTGGATTAGAAAGGTGTTGAGGAATGGAATTTGTACTGTTTTTGACAACTCCTATTTGACGTAGCCGATGCCAAGTCATTTTTATATTTTTTTGTTTCATAGAAAATTCAAAATAAGCCTTCTGCTCATGCTGTATGGCCCCTTTTGTATAATTTCCTAATAGTTCTAGTGAGAAGGTTGACGACTTTTTTTGAACTTACAAAACGTTTTGTTGCGCAGTTTAATTTGAAGCTTTATATTATCCGTGATCCAAGCAGTAAAGTTTCTGGTGACTAAATTCAAAGTGACATTATGCCGATTTTTTTTTAAATTATATTGGTTTTTTGTCACATTATGTACGTTTTTCTACAAGATGTTAACTTAGCACCAGCTGATGGCCATGTTGTGAACTCGTTTAGTAGTTGTACGTGTTGCCTAATCGTCATGAGGCTTCAGTTATCAATGGTTGGCTCTGATGTGATGTAAAATCTGCTTCAGAGATGGCATTACTGGAGGTAACGGCAATGCATAGGTGCATAGTGAGGATTTGTGTGCTGATGATATATAATAAATACACTTACTTGGGATTCAAAGCTAGAGTTTAGTTTCGCATCCACTTTTTCTTATCCAAACTACATTTCCAAATCTGCTGAATTTCAGAAATGAGACAGATAAGAAATAATTATATCCACTGTACACTATCTAATCTCAAGTCACATACATGCTAACAGTAATTACAAGCAACGCGGACGCGGTGGTGATTTCCCGCAGTTCTGCCAAATGTTTTTGAAAACATGAAAAAACGTAAAAAATCGTAATAGATAACTTTGAACATAAACTTTCTTCCAAAAGAACAACATATTAATAACCGGTCGGGCACAGCAAAACACCTCAATGTCACACAGCAAATATCGCTGATTTTATAAACGTGCAGACCAATACGCACAATCATCGAGATGCAATCTTGCTATTCAACCAAATAACCAACTTTCTCCTCAGAGACTCAGAGATGAAACCTATAGACCACTCGGCTTCACAAAACTTATGCAAGCAACAATGCGTGTACACGTGTAGTTGGGCCATTCCTCTATAGATGGCGCTGACAACGATCCTAGTGAGCAAACATGGAATGACCCTAAAAACTACTCGTACCTAGTCTGCAAGATGACATAGGTTTTTTTACGTTTTATAAGTTTTTTTACACAATACCCGTGCCGGTTAATCCGCCCCTGCTGAACTAAATGTGGAGCCTCAAGCAACTAATAAACTGCCAAAAAAATCATCAAATTTTGAAGTGAGGTGCAAAATTTAGGAAAACCGCTTTAAAGTAGCGAGTCCTTTAGAAGAGATACGTAAGAAATTTTTTTCAGTAGGAACTTGGAACATTACTTTTCGGTTCTATATGCATATGAGAGATATGTTGTCCTGGGTCACCCTGTATGTGGTCACACCGTCCCGCCTCACAAAAGCGAAAGATGTATGTTAGAGCACATACCCAGTTGATGACCTCCCTCAATCCCTTCACGTCTGCACGCACAGCATCCCCCTGAACGCCAGGGGGTCGGGGTTGAGGAGGTCGGAAAGGCGCAAACTCAGCATCCCGCCGCTCAGTGTGGTGGTGGCCGTCGTCACAGCCGCAGGACCAGAGCAACCGCCCCCTTCAGGCAGAGCCACCAGAGGACGACCGACGTTTTCGCCACCATCGCCGAAGCGCCGCGACGCGGAGGACGCTACCGTCATCATAATGGACGGACGCTAGGTTAGTTCCGGGTAGTTTTTGGTTTCGGTACCGCCGGTTTTGTGCTTTTTGAAGGACAGCGACGACGAGCGGACGTGATGCTGCTGTTGGTGGTTGCTTGGTGGGCGGTACTTGGACTCCTAACAGGTGAGTTGAATGGATATGTAGGGAAGCAGACGTTTACTACACCGTGTCAAGATCTTGTGATGCAAGTAGAGACATTCCGGCAGTGCCAGTGGATTTCTACGTCACCTTGTAATTAATCACAGGTCTAAAAAATAAAAAAAAGTGGTGTGAGCTGAGCGTCTCCCCTTCTCCCGCTGAAACGAATCTGAAGTTAGTTTTGGTGGTCGATGGACAAATATGAAAGTAATTTATACATTGAGATCACAGATTTTGTTAGTTTTGGCAGATGTGCATCTTTCAGATATATCTGATGAGATAAAAATACCAAAGGACCACGCACATAATATATGGATAATGGATCCCAGTTGATTCATCTAAAAACTCAGTTTGCTGTGCTTCTCGCCTTCATGAACAAAATTGGTTATAGCACTAAAGCAATTCTATGATTACTTTCTGAGAAATAAAGTGGTGAATTTCATCGATTTCAAAAAACGGTGAAAGTACACTTTTTGAATTCTTCGAGAAAACCATTAAAATACAGCATTTACCGAATCTAGGAGATCCGTATGACACAACTGGTGATATTTCTAATAGCTACCATCCTCCAATTATTATACAGGGTGATTCACAAGTCGTGACTAAAAATGAAACATACACACGAACGCATTTTAAGGGGGGTCTTTAATGTAACATTTTTTCCTCGCGGGCTTCATTAAAAAGATACGGAGTGTTGAAGTTTAAAAATAAAAAACTTTTTTTAATACCTTCAAAAGCGCCAACTGGAATCAACTAAAATTTGATATGTTGACAATATTTAGGTGAATACCTAAGTATTGTCCACATTCAAAAGTCTTTACTTAAAATTAACGTGCACCAGTGGCGGAGATACAGGGGATTAGTGGGATTGTTTTACCGAATAAAAATATAATTAAAAATAATTAATATTGTGTTTTTTCCTAGAGTGCATTGTTTTGGTAAAATAAAAAAAAATAAATTAGATAATCAAAGCTTTAATTTAATAAACGTTCAAAAATACCACCGTTCTGACGGATACAAGCGCGGCATCTTTTTAATACAGAAAAACGTATTTCCGCAGCGGAACATCATCTAACACATTTTCTATGTAATTCTCTAGAAAAGATAAGTATGAGTTTGAATTTAAACCTTCAGGCAATACGTGCATAAACAGTTGGCCATTAATATCTGTGTTGAACGAGTGGACTCTTACGGAACGGAGATTCTCTAATGACCAAATATGCTTATTATTAAAACCGATTCATCTTACCACAAAACCAAATCAATAAAATCTGCATTTTGGTTATGCATTTGCAGTAACCACTCACAAACATTTCGTCGTTGTACTTCGTCGCCGGGTTGCAGACATTGCATATTTTGCCGATGGTAAGGATGTAAAGCTTTCCGATTTGAAATTCTCCGCGTAAGACTTTGGGAATATGGTAACTGGGCTGCAATCCGCCAAGTACTTGTACTAGGATCATCCAATTTTAAATTAATCACTTCCAGTTCCTCTTGAACAGTATGCCGGATACCATGGCCTCTAGCTCCGGGAAGTTTGGCAACTCCATATTTCTGAAGGCTTGGAAATGAACGCGTAAAAACCTTTGGGGTAGGTTGACGTCTTTTAGGAAATCTACCTTGATACTCTCCAGAAGCTGCTAAAGCATCTCCATTACAGAACCCGTACACAAAAATAATATCTACTTACTCAACATTGCTAAACACTAAAAACACAAGAGTAATTATTTGTAGCAAATGGAAGGTAAAATTCGAAAAACTGCGCGTTTAAAAAAAACAGTGGTATACTATTTTTATTTTGGAAAAATATTGACATTAATCCCCTGTATCTCCGCACCTGTTGCACGTTAATTTTAAGTAAATACTTTTGAATATGGACAATACTCAGATAAATCCGCATACCAAATTTTAGATCATTCCAGTTGACGGTTATGTATGGTGTTTCATTTTTGGTCACGACTTGTGAATCCCTTGTATATGGATGGGAGGTGAGAATAACGAAGATTTACCTGATGATAATTTAATTATTGCAGCTGTAAATCTGGCCCCCAAGGCCTAAGCACACGTGGTTTTTCCGATACGCTCTCCAAGAGATGAGAGTTCGTTGTATTTCGAAAAAGTTGACGAAAACGTAAGAAAACCTCAATTATTATATTTATATTATAATATTTGTAATCACTGGTGCATTTTTCTTTTCTATTCCGCCTTAAATTGATCTTGTAAAGGTCATACTTCAGGACAACTAAGTAACCACTACTTTTCCTTCCATTGCGAAGCGAACTGGCCAGTGCCAAATCCATTTCAGTTCCTTCTTCTTCCTACTTTATTAATAGGCTCATGCCTGTTCTACTTCGGTTTTTAGCCTCAATTGATATTGTCTGACCATCTTTTCCTTGGTCGTCCCATTGATCTTCTTCCATTTGGCGATTTGTCTCTTGCTTTTCGTACTGTTCTATTTTCTGTCATTCTTTCTATGTGTTGATTCCATTCTATTTTTCTTCTTATGGTCCACAGGTTTATTTCCTCTATACCATATCTCGCTCGTATTTCCTCACTTCTTACTCTGTCTCTTAGAGCTTGGTTTGTTATTTTTCGTAAGACTTTCATTTCTGCAGCTTCCAATAATCTTTGTGTTATCGCCGTATCTGCTCTAGTTTCCGCTGTGTACGTCATTATCGGTCTTATTGTTGATTTATATATCCTACTTTTCGTTTCCGTTGTGAGGTATTTGTTTCTCCAGTTTGTATTGTTGAGACATCCTGCTGCTCTGTTCGCCATGTTCACTTGTTTTTGCACTTCTTCCACTTTTCCATAGCTTGACAGTTTAATTCCCAAGTATTCCGTTTCCATCACTTGTTCTATTATTTTGTTATTTATGACCAGCTTACATCGTCTCGGTTCCGGTGATATCACTATCGATTTAGTCTTCTCTGTTGAAATCACCATGTTGTATATGAGCGCCGTATATTCGAATTCTTTAATTAATCTTTGTAGGTCATCTTCATTTTCGGCTATTATTATGACGTCGTCGGCGTAGCATATTATCTGCGTTTCCTTTTCTCACATTCTATAACCTCTTCTTTTTTTAAATTTCTTTATGATTTCATCCATTATCAGACTAAATATTAGTGGGCTCAGCGAATCTCCTTGCCTAATGCCAGTTTCATACTTGATAGGTTGCGAGAGTTTTCCTTCACATCTTACCATAGCTATGTTATCTTTATATATATTCTCAATAGCTTTTACTAAATCCAGTGGTATTCCCCTGTCATATAATAAATGTATCGCGTCCCGAATTCTCACTCTATCAAACGCTCTCTTCAAATCTATCAGGCACATATATGCCGGTTTGTTGTATTCCAGTGACTTTTCTTTTACTTGTCTTATTACAAAAACTGCATCTTCCTGTCCGGAATCCTTGCTGCTCCTCTTGCAGAGTTATTCGTTCGTATTTTTTGTCGCTTTTATTCTTGTTGTCAATTTGAGTGTTGTATTTAACAGATTTATTGCTCGATAATTATTGGGGTCTTTCTTACCTCCTTTCTTGAAGAACATCAGCATGATCGCTCTCCTCCATTCCTCTGGTATTCTGTTCGTGGTAACTATTTTTTTAATAAGGAGTTGCAGTTGTTGTGCAAGGTAATCACCTCCGTATTTTAAGAGTTCATTTGGTATTTGATCTTCTCCTGGTGACTTTCTATTTCTTAATTTATTTATTCCTTGTTTCACATCTTCTTGGGAGATTTCGGTCTTTTCCTCAGTTATTATATTTGGCGTTCCTGGTAAAGATTCTTCGTTTTCTTTTTTAAACATTCCTGTCAGGAAGACCACCTTCCAACATATAAAAATAAGTTTTTCCTCAAATTGACCTTGTAGGGATCGCGTCCAAGATCAACATGACACCTCCCAACACCCCTTCCTGATTCTTGAAAAGCTTTTGAATGGAATACTTTCTTCAGTATAACAACTGAGTATTTGATCTGAGAACATATTAAACATTTTTGCCAATCGGGCAAACCCCCTCCCCATAGTTCTCAGATGTTTAGACAAATGTTTCGTGCAGTGTCCTTTATAACTGTGATGTCCAATTTAATTTTATAGTTGTCCGTCGAGTCCTTTGATTTTAGATTTCTGAAGAAGAAAGAAGTGCGTCAATTTGAGAGGTATTGCTAACTAGTATTCGGTAATTTTAAATTAATCCTGAAATTAATTTAGAGATCTAATTTTCTTCACTCGCGCAACAAAGGGTTGCTAGGCGATTCCGCTTGACTGTAGTTGCGCTTGTTGTTTGATGTAAGGTTAGGTAAGGGATGTAAAGATCGCTGTGAAGGGTCTGATTGGAGACATACCATGGGCCGTTAGTGATTGTACGCAAGGTTCTGTTCTGCGGAACCTGCAGACTACGCAAATGCTTCTTGGCGAGAAAACACCAAGCCGCTCTTGCGCAAGTGATCACTGGTCCAATAACCATCTTGTATATCCCATAGGGGACATTAAAATCCCCATAAATGTTCGAAACGCTGACCATCACACTCTATGCATTCCTTCAGCCTCTCATGGGTAGACAAAACTGCAGTTTTAATTTCGGTTCTGGGTATGTTACGTATTGTATTACGAATCCGGTTTCTCATATATTTGCTGGTTGTAGGTTGAGTCTGAAACAGGATGACCTTTAACCGTCCCGATAAATAAAAATCAAGACAAGTTAAGTCTGGTGATCGCGAAGGCCTTGGAAACAGACTGCCAATCCACCGCTGTTGAAATACTGCATTAATATGCTCTCGGAAAATAATAAAAAAATGTGCTGGGAACCATCCAACTGCAAAAACAAGTTTTTCCAACAACAACGGTAACTGATTGTCCAAAAAGTCAAGAAGGACATTGCCATTTAGGGATTGCACTCCACACATTTAACCTCCAACGCCCTTGGTGCTGAACTTGACGCAACCAATGCGGATTTTCTGCAGACCAATAATGCATATTGT